CACTTTGGGAAGCCGAGGCAGGCAGATCACTTGAGGTCAGGAGTTTAAGACCAGCCTGGCCAACACGGTGAAACCTCATCTCTACTAAAACTACAAAAATTAGCTGGGCATGGCGGCAGGCACCTGTAATCCCAGCTACTCGGGAGGCTGAAGCAGGAGAATTACTTGAACCCAGGAGCTGGAGGTTGCAGTGAGTTGAGATTGTGCCATTACATTCCAGCCTGGGCAATAGAGTGAGACTCTGTTTCAAAAAAAAAAAAAAGCCATTCTCTTTATTTAGGTTAGTCTCTATACTCTCCTACAGTTATTAGATGAGTCAGAATTCATACTTCCTGTCTGCCACTAATAATAATATTATGTACATTATAATTTTAAATAAAAATAACTTTTGAGAGATAAAAATCAGAAAACCAAAATAATATGAAGGATAAAAAATTATACTTACAAATAATAAAAATCAGAAATGTTAAAATATCAAGAAATAATGGTTCAAGCAGTTGAACAGCAGGGAAGCTCTCTAAAAATCATTTGCAAGCCTGAGAGAAGTACTATTTTCTCTGTTATATAAATAAAGATGCAGAGATTCACTGGTTAACTGACTTGTCCCGTTATATGTGGCTTACAAATACCAAAAGCAAAATTCACATATAGACCTTCTGGCTTTACAACTTTAGAACCCATAATCTCCTTTCTGAGGTCTATTCTGGGAAATTAATCTAATATGTGGAAAACAGGGTATATGAAGATTTCCATAGCAGCATTTTAATTAAAGGAGCAATATGAATATTTCCATGGCAGCATTTTAATTAAAAGAGCAATAATTAGAGGCTATCAAAATGCTTTACAGTACAACAATGGTTAAATAATATGTGCTACATAGACATATGATAGAATGCTATTTTAAAATAAGAAAATATTTCTATATAAGAGAACGAAAGCAGGACGTAAAAAGTGTAATTATTTTAAATATATAAAATAGGAAGTGATACACAAAGAAAACAATTGTATGAAGGTATTAAAATGATAAGCTGTGCTCTAATTTTAATTATTGATATCTTTTTAATGATTTTAATTTGGTTTCAAGTGATTTTACATAGATAGTTCAAAGTTCATGGGTTGTTGAAATCTACGTCCGAGGAAAAACTAAATGAAGAGTAGGTTCAACCTTAGAAAGAGTGTGTGACTTATGAATATTGTGTAACCTCAATTCCAGCTTAAGAATCACTAAAGGAGAGAAAAGTGACTAGAGTGGTATGGCAGCCCCCCGGTTCTGGGGTGTTCTGCAATTTCCCCAGACCTAACCCTCCCGGCCTCTTCCCCGAAGAATCACGACCTACATGTGGGACAGTGGATTTGAAAGCTATGGCAGCTCCTCATAGGGGAGTCAGCGAATACACGCAGTTCCCGGGAGGCTTTGGATCGTGGACACCTTCTTAAGCAGAAAAGAAATCAAGAGCCCGAGTACAGCACATTGAACCCCACACTGTATCTCCGATGCTTTCTGTCACTTTGGTTGATGAAGTGTTCAAAATTGGCAGTGTTGAGATTTCACAAGTCGCTCTTGTGGGGATCATCAGACATGCAGAGAAGGCTTCAACCAACATTGTTTACAAAATAGATGACATGACAGCTACACCCATGGATGTTCGCCAGTGGGTTGACACAGATGACACCAGCAGTGAAAACACTGTAGTTCCTCCAGAAACATATGTGAAAGTGGCAGGCCACCTGAGATCTTTTCAGAACAAAAAGAGCCTGGTAGCTTTAAGATCATGTCCCTGGAGGATATGAATGAGTTCACCATACATATTCTGGAAGTGATCAATGCACACATGATACTAAGCAAAGCGAACAGCCAGCCCTCAGCAGGGAGAGCACCTATCAGCAATCCAGGGAAGAGTGAAGCAGGGTACTTTGGTGGGAATAGCTTCATGCCAGCAAATGGCCTCACTGTGGCCCAAAACCAGGTGTTGAATTTGATTAAGGCTTGCCCAAGACCTGAAGGATTGAACTTTCAGGATCTCAAGAACCAGATCAAATGCATGTCTGTATCCTCAATCAAGCAAGCTATGGATTTTCTGAGCAATAAGGGGCACATCTATTCTACTGTGGATGATGGTCATTTTAAATCCACAGATGCAGAATAACTGGAACTAATTGGGTACCTGAGATATTTTACAACTGGACCTAGCTTCACAGTCTATTTTCTCCAGCTGTGCATATATTTGGCCAGGTGGCTTCTAGAAGTCAGTTTCATCTATAAAAGGTCTCCACCGACATCCTTTTGAAACTTACTGCTCTTCTGTTTTGTTTTGTTTGAAGGTCAGAAAGAGATGGGCAATTGACAGGGATGCACTCAAGCTGGAATTTCTTGAGGAAGTTATAAATAAGCTTGTTTCATACTAACATAATGCAAATATCTCTTTTATAAATGAAAATGTGCTAACCCTTTTGCCAACAGGGGGAACAAAAGAAAGTCCCATCAGTCAGTTTGTCCATCTCATGGTGAAAGCTTGCCCCTCCTTTAGGGAACTACATCAGAAAGTTACCTACCAATAACACACTCCATATAAAATATCAGAAGAAATGAAGAGGCTAAAGTAATTTAACATTTATAAAAACACACAAAAGACGAGGAAAAAAATGTGGCTAATTACTGTGGTCTTCATTTCATAAAGGTGTAGTTGCAATTTGTAACTTCCTTCCCCTTCTTTCCATTTCTTGTTCCTTTTGCTTTCAGCTAGCACTGAGGTTGGTTGAGGTCCTTAATATGTCATGGTAATCAAAATGTTCATTCTTGAGATCAGAGCCTATAATGACTTCCTATGGTCACCACTGGAAGAGGTAATCCTAGACATGTTCCAGAATGTCTCCAAATTCCAATTAAACTTCTCAGTGCCCACAGAGTATAGCAGCACTATTAGCACCCTTAGCTGAAAGAGAATCTGGAAAACATGTTTGGCTTTCTAGACTCCACAGTACACAAAACACGAAGGAGGATAAAATGGGTCCAGTAATCTACTATTTTCACCACAGTAATTAAGTTGGGGGGAAAAAAAAGTACTCTCTTATGACCTTCACCACAATAATGCAGGATTTTTCTCAGCCCCTTCATCAGACTTGTGACAGGGGTGGCCCCATTTACTCGGCCTGCTGCATTCAAGCCTTTGTGGGAGGAAGCACATGAATAAGTTCCATATGGGACCCCACAGCCAGTACAGGTGTGCATGGATAAATGCAGGATCCTGCCAGCCAGTCCAACTGCTGGCAGGAAAAATCTCCATGTGGGGCTCATGGTAGTGCCCAGGTGGTGCCAGGTGCCTGTGACCCCTAAGCCCCAGAGGGAATGTTAACAGTGCTTTCTTAGCTCTGCTGTCCCCAGACAGCTGTGTGTGAGAAGCTCAGCTGACAGAAGCAAGCTCTGTGTGGGGCCTGCATTGGTTCCCAGGTGAAAGTGTCTGCAACCCTGACACCCCAGAGGGAGTGTTACAGTGCTCTCTTACCTCCACCATCCATGGATGGCTGTGTGTTAGTAGCTCATCTGACAGGAGCAAGCTCTGTGTGGGGCCCATAGCAGTGCCCAGATGAGGGTGCCTGTGACCCCAAAACCCCAGAGAGAGTGTTACAGCACTCTCTTAGTTCTGCCATCTGTGGACAGCTGTGTGTTAGCAGCTCAGTTGATCCCTTGCCTCATCACATAGGGCAACTACCCTCCACTGGTGAGGGCAAAGGGCTGGTGTGACAGACTTTCTGGGTACCTGCACTCAGTGGGCCCTGAGCTCTGGTCTGGTGTCCAAGAAGAATGAGATCACATGGACGAACTGAAGGATGGGGAAGGTGGAGAATGTTACTGAGCAATGAAAATGGCTCTCAGTGGAGAGGGGAGCTGGAAAGGGGATGGGAAGGGCAGGTCGCCTTCCCCAAAGTTAGGTTGTCTCTTCCCTGAGGTCAAGCTGTCTCTCCTCTGAAGTGCAGCCCTCTCTCATCGCTTCTGACTGATGGTGGGATGTTTATTCACAGGATGGTGGGGGTGGGCCAGAGGTAGTTTTGGAGAAGGCATGATTTGATTGGTAAAAAGGCATTATTCAGAAAAACAAATCAGAAGAGAATGGGCAAAAAGGAATAGTTCTCATTTCAGGCCACGGGTTTCAGGCTTCTCAGTTTGAAGGTGCAGTTTCACTGGGAACCCATTTCTGTCTACCTAGAATTTCTCTGCCTCCTGCCTCTATCAACAGTAACAAAGTAGAGGGGAAAAAGCTACTCTTTGTTGCATTGATAGGTAGTTAAGTTCTAGTGCCTGAACAGAGTAAAGCTTTAGCTTAATTGTGGGACAGTCATTGAGTCTCACAAAGGGATCGAGCTTGCTGAAGCCAGTTAGCATAAGCTCCTAACCAGGAAAGATGATCTCAATGCATAAAAAGGGCTTTGACAGAAAGCTGTTCTTTTCTGCCTCCCTCGACCCTCCCTACCCCCAGATCCTGACAATGCTGTTTCCCTACATTCAAACCACTCCAGAGTATCCAGTGTTCTGCTACCTCTTCTCCATTAAACTGATACAGCTTGTGTGATTCATCTTTATGTGAAGCTCAAGAGGAAATATTCAGATGCCACATACTCAGATAATTCATTTGAAGTTTCATGGTTTTGAATGGTAAATTGTTCTGATGACCTATGAGAGAAAAGGACTCCAATTTCTTGGAATGATTCTTCTTTAATGTCAGGATGCATTTGCACTCCTTCATGCCACCAGGCTACAAGGTAGCAGCTTTGGTTGTTTTTTTGAGTATTGCTGTAGTGCTGCAATTTACACAGATGCAAAGCAGACAGTAATTAGGAATGTATTTTGGCCTTATTAATAAGAACTGTTAATTGGGTGATATAGGAGTGATTTCTTCCTATGAGTGGACTCCAGCAACATCCAAAAAAGAGAAAAAATTCAAGCAGCCACAAGCACAGAGGAAGCTTTAAAATTAACCTGCCATATGACAATTTGTTGACAGGTTGGTTACTGGAAAGACATGGAACAAGAAGATGCAGCAGAAACAGTCAAAACTAGAGGGAATGAGTCTTTCGTCATCCTAACAGGATTAGAAGGAAATACATTATATCACTTCACAGTGAGGGCTTACAATGGAGCTGGATATGGGCCACCTAGCAGTGAAGTGAGTGCAACCACCAAGAAATCCCGTAAGTGACCTGGGCTTTTTGTTTGTTTCAGACAAAGGGGAAACATCTTATAACATTTCTCAAAGCCATGTGAGGTGCATAATAAGCAGAGTCAAAGGGGAGTTTTGATTCATAGTCTTGCTTCAGTGCTTAGATCTGAATCCTAAAACTAGCTCAGAAAATTTCGCATTCAGAGTAGACAAAGGTTATCTTCCTGTGAAACAAGGCTAAGCGATTTTGACACCGAAGGGAGATAAAAGGATTCAAGTTCAAAAGCTCAGTAGAGTAGCTATTAAAATGACACTTCTGGAGCAAAACCCTCCTTATCAGACTCTAGCTGGAAGGAAGCCTAGATTGCCAGCCAACTACTAAGCAGGAGAAAACAGTGAGATACTCACAAGGAATTAAATGAAGAAATGTATTTAAGAATCCTTGTCAGTTCACGTTCACTTTTTATTTTGCAGCCCCAAGTCAAGCACCTAGCAACCTCAGGTGGGAGCAGCAAGGCTCTCAGGTTTCTCTGGGCTGGGAACCCGTCATACCATTAGCCAACGAATCTGAAGTTGTGGGTTACAAGGTCAGTATTTCTTCACTCTTTTACATAGACACTCATCTCCGAAATTGTTATTATGAAGACGGAAAATTAATAAGGCATAAAAAGACCCATTAACAAACCTATTTTTTCTCAATCATTTTCTATCTATATCTTAGAAGGATAGCCTTCCTATAGATAGAGAAACCAAGGTAGTCAAAATTAGTTTCAACTGCACAAGGCACAGAAAGGGAAGGAGTAGGAAAAGTAGTGAAAATCTGAATATAGTGTGAAGATGACTCTGTGAAGCATGATATTAGGACCAGCAGAATTTAGGCAGAGAATTCTGGCATATGCCTCCAGGAGACTAATTTTGCTGGCAGCTGACAAATACAGGACCATTTCGTTTTAGTGGAAAGATTTTCTATTAGCAAGGAAACAGAAGAAGAAAAGAAAAATGCAAGGACCAGAACACTAGATAGAAAACAAAAAATCTAGGGAAAGACACAGCAAGCTCCAAAACAGACCCAACATTTACATACAGTCATTCTGTTATGTGACAGTAAGATCTGGAAATTTGATAACATGTGCAGTTTGTTTTTGAAAAATAACTCTGTTATCTGATTTTTAAATATATGTGATCTATGTATTGAATTGGCTTAATTTCAAATTCTTGTTCTATAATGTCACATTCTGTTTGTTGCATTAAACTTCACACAGAATCATTAGTTGAATATTCACAATATTTTTAATGTAATAAAATATGTTAAGTATAATAGTTTAAAATATTTCAGTGATAATATATAGACTGGAAGGTATCATTATAAGTGGTTTTTAACTATCAGAGATGGTAACACAGTATTCAACATATAAAATGCTAAAATTTGAGGAGCTAAAAACCGAAGTTATAAATGTAATATTTTAAATTAATTTCCATTAATATTATATTACACAAACTAGCATTTGTTACCTACTATAATTAGATCACAGACATGCGCGCACGCACACACACACACACACACACACACACACACACAAATCCGTCAGTAATGATCGGGAATGTTGAATTTAATCTTTTGCAGCGAGGTCAGTTGGGTCATTTTCTATACCATTCCCTTACTCCTCTCTTTCTATACCTTTCCCCAAAAGACCATATCCTCACAACTTCTCCTCTTAGGCAAATATACTGTTTAATGCTTAGGGATAGCAGTTAGGTGAGAAATATGATGGACCATTCAAGAATCAATCTAAAATCATTAGAACTATAATGAACAATATCCCAAACTAGAGAGGCAAAGTAGAATGCAAGAGAAAACCAGATAAACATGTATGGTCAACTGGAAGGCTCATAAGGTTTAAGTACCTTTCAAGTGAGAATAGAGAAATACCATATAACTAGAAAAATACTCGATTGAGCTTGGGCGTAGGGATCCCAGGCTGGGTGCCACTACTCTTTGTTCACATTTGACACCTCTATCCCAGTCATTGTTCTTACTTTTTATATATAACTGTCTCCCCAAACAGACTGAAGTCCTCAAAGGCAATGACTTTATCTTATTTCTTGTTCCTAATGTTTCTAGAATGGATGAATAATGTTGGCCCAGATAGAAATGTCTTATGCAGTTATTTATGTATGTGTATTATCAAATATGTATTTTTTTTCCAGCAAAACCTTGCCATTTGTTGTTGTTTAGAGGAAAAAATATCACTGGCCACTGATTTAGATAGACTTCAGCTCAAATCCTAGTTGAGTAATTTGAGCAAGTTGTTTGAACTTTCTCAGTTTTATTTTACTAACATCACAAATGGCTAAAATAGCAATAATAATACAAATTATACAGGATTTTCTAAAGAAGAACTTGTATAAAATGCTTGGCATGTAAAATGTTCTCATGAAAAAACAGATACTGTTTCTTACTGTTATTGGAGGAGCATGTCTCATTAGGTAAAATTTTTAAAATTTTAACACAGAAACTGATCTTGAAAAGTTGCCTCCAGTTCCCTCTTAATAAAGATAACACAAGTCACGTTGGAATACCTTGTTGCTGGGGGAAAAATCACTAGCATAATCCATTTTCAATGTATAAATTAATGACAAGTAGGCACACATTGCCAAAGACATTTTTTCCCTTTTATTTCTTGAAATGGTTGCACTTTCTTATATCCCTGAGAAGGAAGAATTGATTCTTATAGAAGGAGTCTGCTGACAACAAATGGAATAAGACCTCAAAACCTTCTCCTTTGGAACTAAACCTTATCAGAACCTTTCTGAAGAGTGGGATAATCCCCACTGAGAGAACAGCTGACAGGAAGGGCTCCCTGAGGGAAAGGGAACTTCAGACTGGACTGGGCTTAACCCAGAGTTTGGATTCTCCTCAGAGGGCGGTTTTTCACAGGGCAGCCAAGGATGAAAGCTCCTCCTGACACAGACCCAATGGGACAGGAATATATATTTAGAAATAATAGCTGAGAATATAAACTAAAGAGCTATAACCCAGAGAACACAAGCTTGGAGCCCCTCTTCTGAGTATGATGTTGAAGCCAGCTACTGCACCCTTGGCAAGGATCCCCACACAGCAGTTAAAGAACTATACCATCCGGAGGTGCACACTAATATAGAATGACCAGGGCTGGGCATGATACTCAGAAGGAGAAGCCTTTTGTACTAGGAATCCTTTTGATTCCTACTACATCCCAAAAATTACCGCCAACCACGAGTGGCACCACTATAATAGCGGCCCACCTCTTCTTAAGCACAATGGGTGTCACTTACAAAAATTAATAAAATAGGGACATAGGACACTAATCATTTCTCTTTCCACAAGGTCATTTGAGGCAGGCTTGACCCGTTAAGACTGAACTTGCCCCTAGGATTCTTGGAACATTTGAGGCAGAAGACTTCTTGCTAATTGGGGAAAGGGAGAGTTTCCATAATTAATTGGAATATTAAAAAGGGAGGTCACTTAATCTTCACGCTGTCTTTGCAAACTACTTCACTTTTGCAAGCAGGAAGGATCAGTGGAAATGTTTATTGTGTGTAGGTTTGAGGCTGAGAACTTGGGATTAAAGCCTGAGGTTTAAGATGCAGGGATTATATATTCCATCTTTTACGTTAAGTCCAGTTTAAGATTGAAGAACTTAGAAAAGTATTTATCTGGGAGACTTCTAGGTTGTGAAAGTTATTAAAACATAATAAATGTGGAGGAAAAAGTGGATTTTTTTGCCATATACTCAGTGCATAAATAATGTAATAAATGATTATTTCGTAGAGTTAAGATGCTATATACAGGATAGATATTCTGAAAAAAAAGTACTACAAACTGGATCTCATAGAGACTGGTGGTTATCAGAGACCAGGAAGGGGAAAGGAGAGTGAGGAACAAAGAGAGGTTAATCAATGGGTACAAATACACTATAAGATAGAAGAAATAAGATCTGGTGTTTGATAGATCAGAAGGGTGATATAGTTAATAATCTATTGTATACTTAAAAATAGCTAGATGAGAATAATTTGAGTGTTCTTAGCGTAAAAAAAAAGATAAATATTTAAGGTAATGGATAACCCAATTACCCTGATTTGATCTTTACACATGATACAAATGTATCAAATTATCATATTACCCTGAAGATATGTACCTCAGTATGTATCAATAAAAAATGTAAAAAAGTAAATCATATAATGGAATAATACAGTGCCCTTTAATCTTTAGTAGTTGAACTCCTTTCAGGCAAATAAATGCATTGATACTTCTAGGAATTTTAAAAGTTATTTTGCCATTTTCCATGGAATATAAGAACACTATAAAAATGTATATCAGTACATTATAAAATTGTAAAGCTTATATTAATAAAGTCTTGAAAAGTAAACTACAGAAGTAGCATAAAACAGTAGAGTTCGACATTTGAGCCACCCATTGTCTAAGAAAGCATTGTCTTAGTCCTTTTGTGCTGCTATAACAGGTATCTGGGACTGGGTTATTGACAAAAAATAAAAATTTACTTCTCTCAGTTCTGAAGGCTGGGAGTGCCAAGATCAAAGCTCCAGCAAATTCTGTGTCTGATGGGGGTCCAATTTTGGTTCCCACAATGGTGCCTTGAAAGCTACATCCCCCAGAGGGGAGGATCACTGTGTCCTCACTTGGCAGAAGGCAGAAGGGCAAAAGGGGCAACAGCCATGAGAAGCCTTTTTTATAAGAGCATTAATCCTATTCATGAGGGGAGAAGTCCTTATGATGTAATCACCTGTTAAAGGCCCACCTCTGAATACTATCACATTGGCAACACCTGGATTTTGCAGGGGACACATTAAAACCATAGCATCACAGATCTTACTTTCTTACTCAATTTCGGACATTGAGGTGTCAGCAACATATATAACTACCAGATATTACCAGAGAAAGATGATAACAGAAATTTTGTTAACAGATGTTAGGAGGAAAAAAAAAAAAAGAGGTCTCCCTACCACAAAATCTTGTCAGAGCCTTCAAAAGTGACCAAGAATATCATGAAAGATAGATGGAATTGAACCATATATAACTGCCCAATAGGTAACATATTAAAATTGAATTCATTCAGATAAACATTAAGCAGTACCTAGTGGTGAAACTTTTCAGATTTATTTTTGAGATTGTCTAAGAGATCCTGGGCTTCTTGGAATTTTGCTTAAGAAATTCAGATTTAATAGCAATAATTTCAAGATATCACACCTTCCATTAACAAGTAAGGAACAGAGACACATAGAGAACCAGCAAGGTATTGGAAAGGATTATCTGTTGCAGACACCCCCTATTGTACCAAATAATAATACAAATTATTTCCACTCAAAATAACTTTCCATTTGAGAAGTTGAATCCAATTTGGTAATTTATTTAGCATATTTATGACTTTTCCTCAGGTCAGTAAACGTGTCACTTTATTTATTCTGTTGTATTTACATTCCCCAATTCAGAATCAACTGCCTATTTTATTAACACATTATTTATAAATGATTGGGAAAGTGAAATAAAAACTTCAAATAAAAGTTTTCCTACCTTGACTTATTGTTTTCAAATAAAAGTTTTTAAACAAATAACATTTTATTTATACAACTCCTATAATTTGGGGTCTCTATCTAGAATCCTTACTAATTGTAGCACATGATGTTAAGACTCACCATTACTGGTGTTACTAAAGAAATGCCAAAAAGAAACATATGGACTAAAGTATATTCAGCCATAATTTTTAATGATCTTGAAAATGGAATTTTTTTTTCTTTACACCATGAAAGTACTTTACCCAGATTATAAAGTAAAACAACCATTTTATCTCCACCTTATTTTCTTCACACAGACTTATGCTTGAGTGAAAGGGAAAATAAAACTGAATGTTCAGGGGCTATGCTTTCACTTCAGCAAATGTCCTCTTCCCCACAAACAGAAACTGTTATCCCTTCAGAAAATACTCAAGCAGTTAGAAAGAATTCAGGACCTCAGGCTATAATCCAAGTGAAAACTATTAGTTTTTCAAGTCTATATCTAGAAAATAGCCTTTCCTAGATATACAACCCCTTCACCATATACCTCCCCTCACCCACCTTTACTTTTTACCTGTTTACAAAGCTGGGGCAAATAGAAGAAAATCAGGCCCAAAGTTTATTAGTCATTACACAATCCATCAATACTGTATTAGTCCATTTTCACACTGCTAATAAAGTCATACCCAAGACTGAGCAATTTATAAAAGAAAGCGTTTTAATGGACTCGCAGTTCCACGTGGCTAGAGAGGCCTCACAATCATGGTGGAAGATGAAAGCAATGTCTCACATGGCAGCAGACAAGAGAATAATACTTGTGCAGGGAAATTCCCCTTTATAAAACAGTCAGATCTCATGAGACTTATTCACTATCATGAGAATAGCACGGGAAAGACCTGCCCCCATGATTCAATTACCTCCCACCAGGTACCTCCCAAAACGTGGGCATTGTGGGAGCTACAATTCTAGAGGAGATATGGGAGGGAACACAGCCAAACCATATCAGATACAAACAGAGGTTCTCATTTGTTTATGCAACTGAGATATCAGCTGAGCTTCCAGATTCCTGAGATATATGTACACTTGGGTTGATACTGTTTTACATACCCACTGGAACTTTGAGGCCCTTCCCTGTATTTCTCCAGCTTCTTGGGAACTGTAGTCTATAGCCACTCTAGTCTCTGATTTCTTTTATTCTGCAGCTCTTCCTTCACTTTTTTTTTTTTTTTTTTTTTTTTTGAGACGGAGTCTCGTTCTGTCGCCCAGGCTGGAGTGCAGTGGCCGGATCTCAGCTCACTGCAAGCTCTGCCTCCCGGGTTCACACCATTCTCCTGCCTCAGCCTCCCGAGTAGCTGGGACTACAGGCGCCCGCCACCATGCCCGGCTAGGTTTTTGTAATTTTTTTTTAGTAGAGACGGGGTTTCACCGTGTTAGCCAGGATGGTCTCGATCTCCTGACCTCGTGATCTGCCCGTCTCGGCCTCCCAAAGTGCTGAGATTACAGGCTTGAGCCACCGCGCCCGGCCCCTTCATCTTAGAGTCACTCTAAATATGAGACTCAGCCTTCTTTTCTGTGTTTACCTATCATCCTCATTTACCTATCATCCAAGTTAAGTCATATATGAGTCTTTTTAAATGAGGTTCATTATAGTATCCTCTTTACATTCATTTATGCCTGAAAATTTTCAGAATTTTAAATAATTCAAACAGAAATGGTTCATGTCATATCCAGCATATATATGAAGCAGACTTTTTGAAAATGCCGGGGAGATAGAGTTAGAAAGGAACAACATACAAGCAAACATCTGCAAAGGGCCCAAAAGAAAGTCTTGTCGTTGTAACTGTGTTCAGCCAACCTTCATGCAGTGACTTCTCTCACTGAAACTGTGTCTCCCAGCTTCTATTTATCTAACTTCCATTGTCGTACGGACTCCTTCCTACCCATCCCATTGTGACTGAGGCTGTAGATTCCTCACCCTGTTTTATGAAGGGCAGTTGTACCCATCAACTGTTTCCAAGATGCTCAGTAGAGGAATAGGCTTTTCTCTTAATATGAGCCATCCTTCTCAGGAGTACTTTGGGTATAACCAGCAAAACTTTATTCTGTTATATGTTTAGCACACTCACCTCAATATTCTACTACCATCAAACATATAGAATAGCCATTTCCAGATCAAGCTTTTGAGAATAGCAATACCACATTTTCTATTTAGGATCATCTCTTTGGATAACCCACTGCTCTCCGTTTTTTTTTAATACCAAAATTTGAGAATAGCCTTGACACAATACATTACACAATTTCCTTTATACATAAACATAGCTGTCATTGCAACTGTCAATCTATGAATGTCCATATTCTCTAAGAACTCACTGGACTCCTTACTGTCAATAACTATTTTTTTACATGTCTTGATAACTCCTTAACCTTCTCACAGTTCTCATTCTCATTCATCTTTTCTAAAGCAGGATTTTTAAATAAGCCAATATTCTCTAAAGCACTGAAGATTAACTATTAATTTAATGTATCTTTTCACTTAGTAGATCTACATATATGTTTAGCACTCCATCTCCCTGGATATATTGCTAAAAGGCCACACTTAATCTCAGACTCCTTTTGATACCACTGATTTTTTTCCCTGTCTTTACCTTTTAATCCTAAATCTCAACTGATCCACAAATTTTTCTTCAACTCTAGAACATTAGATATGCATTGCTGGATGTATTTTTCTTTGTCATAAGAATTGTAATTTATTGAATCATAATAACAGTGTCCTCTAAAATAGTCACTCTCCTGCCAATCCTCACCAATTTACATACTTTCCCATTCCCATAAATTTGCTTTCCAATTACCTCACATGATCAGAATTCTAATTCATCACGATGCTCCATGCAAATCAAAAGCATAAATACAGATATATTTGTCACATTTTAAGACAAAAGCTGCTTAAGGCATCCTCCAGGAAGTGTTCCCGATTTCCCCAATCTTGACTAAGTACCCACTTTGTGCATTACTATAATATCAAATATATTTCCCACTGCAGTACATACCATGCTTCATTGCATTGTTTGTCTTCCTTCAATATTAGACTATAAATGCCAGGAAGACCATAACCATGTGATCTTATTCTATGATGCCAGTATGTAGCACTCATGCCCGGCCTGCATGAGATGTCCAGTAAATGTTTGGTGATACTGTTATCAACTTGCATTTACACTGAGACTATAGCATCCTTTATAATAAGGATTTCAATAGATGCCATTTTTGCACATCACACTTAAATGGAGAATTCACTTCCCTCCCAAGAACGTGAAGCAGATTTAAAATTAAATGAAAAAAAAAAAAAAAAAGGAAGTGAAATGGAGGGATCGTTTATTACTAGAATTCAGAGGGATCAAGTACACGCAAGCTTCAATATGTGGAAATACTGTTTCTCTAAAGAATTGTTTGGGTTTTTTGTATGTAAGTTAATTTAAGCTCAAAACACATTTTCCATAAGAAAAGATATATCGATTTTTGTCTAATTTCCCAAGTCAGTTCATATTGTATGATGCACGTGAAATACCAACCCTTTAACGGTGAATAAACAATGATGGCAACAGAAGGAGTAGCTTTCTCTTATTAAGCTTATCACGCACCAGGTCCTGTGCTAGGTAGTCTACATGCACGTTCTCATTTTACTCCCCTAAAAACCCTAAAATTGTTATTATTATCTCTACCATACAGTAGAATAAATTGAAGTTACAAAAGTTAGTAACTTGCCCAAATTGTCCAAGCCAGGACGGTATAGGAGATTTCGTTTTCTTTTGCTATGTTTGTAGGAAGTTGTTTTGTATCCAGATCTGTATGAATACAAAGCCATTTTTCTTTCCATTACACACTTACAACACCAATTATGAAAAAGCACAAAAAAGAATGAACCTAATAAAAATACATTTAAACACATCTTAACTGCTGCTACTTGACTATACCAAACAAATTTTACTTGACTATTTTTGGAGGCACATAAGTAATACTACAATATAGTAAAATAGCTCTGAAGTGATTATCAAATATAAATCTTCTGATGAGATTTCTACCCTAACTAGCCACATGGTCTTGTACGAGTCACCTAAACTTTATGGACGTCATTTTTTAATATGTAAACAAAGGATTATCCTGTGTCCTGATTTGCAGTTCCAAAATTCTGTTTTCCGTGCATGCATGTTTAATTATGATACCACAACAGATGTCTAAAAAGCTTTAGCCTTGCTACACAGTGTATCCAAATGCTGATTTCACCAAAAAGCAAACCACTATAAAAGTAAAAATTTAAAAAATAAAATTTTCACTTTCAACTGTTTCCTACATTGTTAAGGATTTATTATTTATATGTTTAACAAATTTTATCTTTACTCCTTTCAAACTATTTGAAGATGAGCTTTCTAAACTCCCTTACAATATTGTTCATTTCAATAACCAAGCATAACAGACTCTCCATGATCTGCCTCCTCTCTACCTACTTCTCTAGCCTCATTCCTCGCTATTCCCATATATCCCCTCTCCATTGCCTACCCTCATGCCATTGTTCCTTATTGCTTAGATGTAGTTATTCATTTTATCTTATCTCTTTCTGGAAATCTCCTCCCTTTCTCCAAGTGGTCCACTGTATCATATTTAAATATGTAGTTCAGACATCACTTCCTCTGGAAGGCCTTCACTAAACCCCTAGACAAAATTAAACTCTCTTCTGTACCTCCATGGCCCTTTTGTATACTTCTACTGCAGTACATTGCACATGCATTACATTTGCTTGTGTATCTGTCTAAACTGTAAGCTTCTTGTGCTTATCTCAGAATGTGGTGCTCAGTAGGTAGTCAATGTGCATTTGTAATCTTTCATATCAAGTGTCTAAACCTCTGTTGTTACTCATAGGTTTTTTATAGGCAAGAGGGTCACAGCAACAGCCAAGTTATTGAAACACAGAAACTTCAAGCAGTAGTACCACTCCCAGATGCTGGAATCTACATTATTGAAGTTCGAGCATATAGTGAAGGAGGAGATGGAACAGCTAGTTCTCAAATTAGGGTACCATCATATTCAGGTGAGTTTTGACATAGTAGGTTTAATTTGCTGACAACCAACAATTACAAGATGGTATGAAACTCCTCAAAATTGAGGATGTGATAGATTTCATGGTTCAGAGATTTTGAGGGGTTTCTCCTCTCTGATTTTTATATTATCTTCTGATTAATATGAACCATAGTAATCTGCTCACAATTGCAGAATTTCTACAAATCTAGAAAGGAGTTGACATTTTCATTAGAATGTACTGATTTGTGAAATGTCCTTGCCTATCCTGGTCTCAAGTAGTACCTTGCTGGCCATTTGGTTTTTGGAGTATGGCTTTTAAACTGATATTACACTGGTTTTGACATACCTACGTTTCTGTTGTTTTGATTGCCTTTATTGTTAGAAAATAAGGAGTTTAAAGGGAAGCTTTTAAAATTAAAATTTGGTCATATTTATTGATTTCCAAACAAATTATAAATTTTATTGAACATTATTATTAACAATATTAATAATTGCTAGCTTTCACTGACCCTTATTATATGTCAGGCATGGTCAAAAGTGCTTTACATACATCATCTAATTTTAGTAACAATCATATGAGATAGGTGACATTTTTACTGTTTTGCAGAAAATGTTTAAGTAACTTGCCTAAGACCACACTATTACTAAGTTTCAGAACCAGGATCAAGACCTGGGTATGATTGTTTACCAAAACCACGTATCTTCACCACCACCATCATTATTATATAAGCAAAGGAAAAACTGATTAAAGGAAGCGAGATTTTAGAAATTTAGAAGAAAGTAACCATTTCATAGAGGTAGTCAAAAAAAGCAGCAAAGATTTAGATATGCAAATTTCTAATTTTAAAAGGATTAGACAATTTTATGAGAACATTATATAACATTTTCTCATTACAATTAGTGGGTAATTAGGAACATCATTTGTTGAGCAATCATTCCCAAGCAGAATTATCAACCTACAGGGAAGTGTCCCGTCATGCTCTGTATGTGGCCCTGTGCTATGTAACTTATTCATCAACTTGAAATCAGACCAGAGGCATTGCTTATGATTTCTTTTATGCCACCATGAAATGGGAGATAAATATAGTGCAGAAAAGAATGAAACAGACTGGAACTTTGAGGAAAAGCTATTGACGTAATACTTGATAATTTTTTTTTAACTTTATAAGTTCAGGGGTACATGTGCAGGTTTGTTACACAGTTAAACTTGTGTCATGGGGTTTTGTTGTTCAGATTATTTCATCACCCAGGTATTTACCCTAGTACCCATTAGTTATTTTTCCTGATCCTCTCCCTCTTCCCAACCTCCACCCTCTGATAAACCCTAGTGTGTGCTGGTCCCCTCTATATGTCCATGTGTCTTCATAATTTAGCTGCCAGTTATGATACTTGATAAGGTCTCACATAAAAATACAGGATAAGGAACATTATTGATAATTGATAAGATTTGCATAACTGTAAATTAGATATTACATCAACATTATTTTTTTTAAACTGTACTGTGGTTATATTGTTAAAAGCCTTATTTTTAGGAACTATACATTAACATATTTAGAGGAAAAGGCACATCATATCTGAAATTTCATTTCAAATGTTTCAGAAAAATGGATGTATGTATAGAAATAATAATAAAGCGAGAATGATAAACTGTCAACATTTAAGGAATCCGGGTGAATTCCTTAGTCTCATGACTTTTCAGTACACCTAAAAGTATATTTAAATGACTAGTTAAAAATACAAAACATAAGATGGGAGAAATCTGACTTTTTCAGAAATTCTGGTGGAAAGATTTAAGAATTTAAATTTTATTGTGGTCACATGAAAATTTAATATGCTTTATGATTCATTTATGAAAGTATAGTTTCAACAGCAAGAACAGTTATAATATCTCCGCATTAATTATTTCACAATTGAACTGTTCAGATGAGGGAGCTGAATTTTCAAGAGCATCTTAAAAGACTGTTTCCTGAAAAGCAAAATATACGACAACCTTCCTCTTGCTTCAGCACGTCAAATTCCTAGACAGCAATACAGTGAGCATTTACTGAGGCCTCATCGTGTTCCTGGCATTAAACTAAGTGTTTTCTATATATTATTTTATCTTTCCAGCAAACTTTTGAGTTAGGTATTTTATTCTTCTCTGACTCTCTAAGGTTACTTTCAACCCTAACACAATCAGATTCTGTAGTATTATCTGAATAAGATCAGCCTCAACCTTGGAAGTACTTATGATATCTTAATTCTCCCATTGATATTTTAAATTGTAACTTCTATGCCAAGAAAAAAATTATCAACTTTTATATTTCAGTTAATAACATTTTGGCCAGTGCAACCCACTTCCTGAGTTTCAATAGAGGAAACTCTTACACTATTGTCTACCTTAGACTCAGACCCTGAGTCATGATTGGTTTCATTTTTATCACATTGTGAAAACCAAATGCCTAAGATATCAAATGACTTTCTCAGGTGAAACAGCTAGTTAGTTTTATAGCTGAGGCTAGAACTTAGTCTAATATTGTTCTTTCTGTTGTTTTGTGGGATTGTTTTGCTATATCACATTAATATGTTTTAGTTTGTAGATTGTATTTGGAATTTGAGATACAGACCCTACTTAGCATTCTGAAAGTGAGATATTTTTATAAAAGTGTCATGTAAATTAAGATGCAGCCACTCCCAATAGCTAGAAAGGATGTTTTCACATTTTTTATTTATTAAGCATGCACATACGACTCCAGTGAGTCTTGTCATCTTGCCTTTCTTATGGTTCACAAGTGGCTATATGCTTCACAATAACCCCATTTTGTACAAGTTGAAATATATGCAACATTCTCCAATATGTTGATTGATAAGTTCTAGTAGTATATTAGCTGTAAAAGTTTTCAAAGACTTACTGGTTTTTGCATTTGTGTGTGTGTGTGTGTGCACGCACGCGCATGTGTGTGTTTACCAAATTATTCTCTGGCTCTTAAGTATCAAGAAAATAAATTCAGACTCTATCTTTGCAACTAAAATTACCCCCCAAATCCCATTACACTCAGTCTAGCCAGAGAGGATTACCTTGACAGAAGATTTCAGCAATTGGGTAGTAGATTATATTATTATTATTAGGGTTTTAACTAAGGCCAATCATTGTTTTAAGAGAAAATACACAAGTATCTAAATCCACTAACTCCTACCTCAATTACTTTAAGCAAGTTTACAGCCTTTCTAAGCCCCAGCTCCATCTGCAAGAGGGGAATAAATAATTGTATTTACCCTATAGGAATGTTATGAGGATCAATTAAGATAACACATATAAAAGGCTTTGTACAGTATGTGACATACAATAAGCGTTTATTAAATAATCAATTATGATCATGATGCTTCAGAAGGCTTCTGGCTTGAAGAACCGTTCCTGAAGTTAATATCTAAAAGTCATTTCGTTTGTGGTTATGTAGGGCTATTAAAACTACTTCAGACTAATCAACCTTGGATCAGTCAGTTTAATCCCAAAGCGATTCTAATATATTAGCTGCATACAATGTTTTAGTCTCATAAAAGAACCTCTCCTGGGTGTAAGAAAGAGTAATGAAAGATCACCATGTTTTGCGAAGTTTGGCATGAGAACCTAGAATTTAAGCTCACTCAACTGAAACAGTCAATCAAGGACACATCAATAAATTCAGTAAATAAAATAATGTTATTAGATTTTAAAATTTACTAGAGTAATCATAGTCATGTATTTCTTAATGAAGAGGGTAAGTTCTGATAAATGCATCCTTAGGCAATTTCACTGTGTGAACATCATAGAGTATGCTTACACAAACTTAGATGGTATAGCTTACTACGTACCTAAGGCATATGGTATAGCCTATTGCTCCTAGGCCATATATATACACAACATGATTCTGCACTGAATACTGTAGGTAATTGTAACACAATGCTATTTGTGTATCTAAACATAGAAAAATTCAGTAAAGATACAGTCAGTATAAAAGATAAAAAATGGTGTACCTCTATAGGGCACTTAACAGGAACAGAGTTTGCAGGGTTGTAAGTTCTGGGTGAGTCACTGAGTGATTGCCAAGTGAATGTGAAGGCCTATGACTTTATTGTACACTGTCGTAGACTTTATAATCACTGTATATTTAGGCAATATTTATATTACATTTATAAAATCAATTTTTTCTCTAATAAGTTAAACTTAGCTTACTGTAACTGTTTTACTTTATAAATTTTTTAAATTTTTTAACTTTTTATCTCTTTTGTGGTAACACTTAAAACACATACATAATACAGATGTAAAAAACATTTTCTTTATATCTGTGTTCTATAAACTTTTTAATATTTTTATTTTATTTTATATTATTTTCCTTTTAAACTGTTGTGTTAGAAACTAAGACACAAATATACACATTAGTGTAGGCTTAGCCCTAGGTCAGAATCATCAATATTGGTCTTCCATATCCACATCCTGTCTCACTAGAGGGTCTACAGGGGCAATAATACGCATGGAGTTATCATCTCTTTTGATAATAATGCCTCCTTCTGGAAGCCCTTCCGAAGGACATGCCTGAAGTTGTTTTACAGTTAACTGTTATTCTGTAAGTAGGAGTACACTAAAATAATTACTAAAAGAATAGTGAATACAGGGCCGGGCGCAATGGCTCACGCCTGTAATCCCAGCACTTTGGAAGGCCGAGGCGGGCGGATCACGAGGTCAGGAGATCGAGACCATCCTGACTAACACAGTGAAACCCCGTCTCTACTAAAAATACAAAAAATTAGCCGGGCTTGGTGGTGCGCGCCTGTAGTCCCAGCTACTCGGGAGGCTGAGGCAGGAGAATGGCGTGAACCCGGGAGGCGGAGCTTGCAGTGAGCCGAGATGGCGCCACCGCACTCCAGCCTGGGCGACAAAGCAAGACTCCATCTCAAAAAAAAAAAAAAATAGTAAATACATAAGCCAAATAACAGGTATCATTTGTTACCATTATCAATTAAATACTGTACATTATACGTTCATATAACTAGCAGAACAGGTTTGTTTACGCCAGCATCACCACAAATATCTGAGTAACGTATTGCATTACAATGTTATAATTGCTACAACATTACTAGGCAATAGGAATGTTTCACATTGTTTCACAATGTTTCATAATGATCTCACGGGGCCACCATCAAATATGTAGTCCATGGTGAACTGAAATGTCATTATGCAGCTCATGACTGTAAATTAGGAATTCATATTGCCACAAGCTTTTGTTATTTTTGCTCCATTTTCCGAACTGTGCACTATCAAAATTATTTTATTTTTATATCTGAATTTGGAATATTTTCATCATTGGTGAAAATTAAATCTCCTGACTGGATGTGTTTGTTAGACATGACATCACCTTTTCAATACAATATCTCATATATCCTTGTCCCTTCTATATAACTTTGGGAACCTCAGATAATGTCTGATTTTATAAATACAAAGAACACTCTTATCAGAAACAGGACCAATCTTGCACTCATTAGTCTTACATACTAAAAGCAATTCTGGCCTAGCTCAAGCAAAACCAAAATAATTTGCTCCATTTGATGCTTTTTTTTTCACAGGTGGAAAAATCACAAGTGCTCAGTCGACCCTTCACACTCTCTCCACATCTTCATCATCAGTCACGTTGCTCTTGGCATTGATGATTCCTTCAGCCTCCTGGTGAAAACCCCTGACTTAATTTGCTTTTGTTCGCTTTAGCTTGATAACAGCAGTGAATAGAGTGTAGTATAAGTGGAGAACCAGGATCCTGAGATGAGCTTGAGCTTTAAAAACTTGGAACTATACATGGTGAACTCACAGGAGGTTAGGGGGGAAATATTACTTATCCATCAGGTTTCTCTTTGGTTTTTGTAAATGGAGAGGACAGTTCTTAGTCCAGTAAAAAATATGCAGATTGTATGTAATGAATTTTTGTAAGCAAAGGTAATTTCTGTCAAATGTATTCTTTACTTTTTTAATATGTTTGGATTTTATTTTATATCTATGACTACGAGTGTGTGCCATCCATTTGTTAAGTAACTGGCCTTTAGCAGATCTGTTTTAAGACAAATGCAAAAGTGAGAATGAAAAGTTTGCTTAAGACTGAGTTCAGTGTTTTTCATTTTCCCTTTGGCTGAATATCTCAATTTCCAAACCAGCAGGAAATATGAAAAATGCTTCAGTGATGTGGTCCATTATAAGATAAGTACACAAAAATTTTCTTGAAAAATATTGTATGATTGCATAGTGAAATAGCAAGATTTGTCAATATGCTATTCTATATGCACCCCTAGAGCAAGTTATTAGGGTAGGGAATAAGCCATTTACATTAGTGCAAGATAAATAGAAACTGAGTCCAAATGAATTTTAGTGCTATTGTTTTTCATAAAGTACTATGTTATCTAGCAGCAAATAAAATAAATATTTATTTTTAATAATAAAAGATGGTTTAACATCACCAAAAAATATGATCACTAAAAACTGCAGACATGCTGCCATGGGTGCTAACTTAAAAATGAGAAGAGTATGGGACACAGCGTTTCCATTTCTTTACCTACTGCCAAAGCAGATGTTGAAGTAGGTCCAAGGTTTTCTTCTAATTGCAAAATTTTGCAAAAATTTTAAGGACAATGAAAATGTGTTGTGCAAATAATTATGCATAGTCTGTAGATTAAAATGGTTCAAGCATAACAAATAAATTTTGATTTTTAAAAACAGTTTCATGCATCACATACCACTGATAAAATCAACTAGTAAAATAAAGACAGTCTCTCTTGGATAAACTGAATTTTTAATTAAGCTGTGGAAACATGGCATCAGTACAGGGATTCAGCTAGTCTAGCCAGCTATGCACTGTTTGATTCTGTGGCTTGGGAAGTAATCCTTATTTGCTATTTCGAAGAGTCAACTTGAGCCTGAGAGATCTTAGAGAGCTGTTGGAAAACGAGATGAAAATTTTCTACTTGAAGATATCTTAAAGAAGTTCTAACAAACATGAGAATGTGCCAGAGTTGGCATCATACCCATGCAAATGCAGGAAAGGACAGTTACTGCAAAGTCATATGCCAGAGAAGAGCCTGGAAAAATTATGGTTTTATAGGTGATGTTAACATGAGAACAAAAAATAGTTTTATAATTTTATATACTTTAAACTTGTTAATTGTATTTGCTTCATTAATAACAAGCAAAATGAAACAATATGGAGCTCAAATTGCTAGCTCTCAAGGTTAATCCTTGTAGAATCAGAGGAGTGATTGAAGTTTCTGTTCTCAACATCCTCAAATAATAGTTTCAGAGCCACAGGAAAAGTCTGTATGTAGGTTACATATTCTCTTGGGGGAAAATTATGTAAGACACCCTAAACAAATAAGAAATGAGTTAAAAGAAAGACTCGGTCAATAGATATTATAGTAAGTACTACAGATGGTAAATATTTAAGCCTGTAAGTAAGTAATTATGACTAAGTAGCCTTTCTTGAACACCTCCTTTAAAGTGGGAGAAGCTGGACTTTGGACTTTGCAAAAACAGGGATGCTTAATTGGTTAGCTGACAAAACATGAGCTCTCCCAAGTATCGTGTAACTTTCATGAATGAATTGTGCATCTGGGAAAAAAAAGGCAGAAAGAATATTTTTAATGCAAAATAATTTTATGTATTTCATGAATCAAGCCATTGTCTTCATTTTCCATGGTGATGTAAACCAGATTTAGTGAAGGACTTTAAGAATCAACTTCTTATTTACACTCTCAGAAAGCAAAGCCCAGTAAAATATTAAACAAATAAAATGACAAATTTAACCAATATTTTTAATTAGCTGACGGATGGTACATATCTGACAGAGTATTTACACGTAGAATGTCTGATGTTGTATTCTTACAGGAATCAGAGATATGGAATGTTTTTACTTAACATACACAGAATATGTATTTTGCATCATAAACCTATTTAGAAAACAGGTTTTCAATGTTTATGTACTTATGTGCTACATATCTGTTACTTTGTAGAAATCAGAAGAGCATTCTTATCAAGGTACATTATTTTTCAGCTACAGTACTGAATTTTTTCTTCTATGGGATAGTAACCACAGTCTTAAATCACTAAAGAGACTGTATTTTTGTATAATGTCAATTGAATATGAAGAAAGCAACAGTCCTTATAATACGAAATTTCATGAAAGCAAAAGTTTTGCATACCCAAATGAAGGTACTGTGGACCCCATGTCAAACTGTTAAATATACTGTGTACGATCTGTATATATACTATATATAAGGTATATACCATGTGGAAGGCACAGTCAAATAATAGTTCTGTGTACTGTTCTTGTAACATTAGATCTTTTTAATAAATAATTCTCTTTTTATTGACTTTTATCTTTTCTCCTGTGAACTATATGAATGACATTATTTATTTTATGCAGAGCACAGAATGCCAATGATTATGGTCTGATTTTAACACTGAAATATCATTATGTTATGCTGTTATGATTTTAGGTTCAAAAATCTCCAGAAATGTCCATGGAAGACCCAACTTGAAAATTTGAAGCTATATCAAAAAATAAAACAAGAAATGAAGCAAATACAGATGGGATAAGTTCAGGGTTAAACTCATTATTTTCTTTTCAGGAAAAGAGACTACATTAAGTCAGTTTCATAAATAATTTGCTAAATGCATACTTCTGCTTTTATTATAAACAGTTAATCCCAATCTATTCTAGGTACAATTCTCATAGGCATTGACTCTTTTTTTGTCCCTTAACCCCGTTATACATCTCAACTATACCAATAATCACATTATAATGATTTGTTTTAAATGCTTCTCTCCAACTATCCAGTCACTGGGATTGCCCAGGGAAAAATATATTTTTCTTGGAATTTCTCTCACCAGTGTCTAGCACAGTACCTAACACATATCAAATGAGCAATACATTGTCAGCCTTAAAATTTCCTTTGGAATGAACTCCCCAAACCTGGGTAATCATCCAACACAGCTGAGAAACCCTATCTCCAAGTTCTGATCCAGTAGATCCGAGACTAGGAAATCCTTGTTTTTAAAATCTTCTCAACCACAAAATAATACAACTCTATTAAAGGAAATTTGTCAATATCTCGTAAAATTTTATATGGATTTGCCCTTTGACCTAGCATATCCACACCTAGGGATCTATCTATTCCTAAAATATATACAAAAATATGCAATTTTAAGTGGATAAAACAAGGTACAGAAGAGTAAATGTATGACCCCTTTTGTGTAAAATACAAACACATTTGCTAATATTCTGAAGAAGAAATAATACAAGCATAAACTAATGACTAATAAAAAAGTATTACCAATTAAGGAGGGAGAGAATGGGATGCAGGAACAAATATGCAAGCAAACTCTTTTTCAATGTACAGTACTTTTTCATAGTTTTGACTTTGGAACTACACAAATGGTTTAGATTAAACTTTAAACCAAAAGAAAAAATAAAGCAATCTCCTAACATTGAGAATAAATGGAAGTAAATGAACCTAAATATCAACCAAACGGCGGGTAAATTGTAATTTTTCTCCCTTTTTTAACTTTTATTTTAGATTCAGGGGTTACATGTACAGGTTTGATACCTGGATATACTGCATGATGCTGGTTTGGGGTGTTAATGATCCTGTCACCCAGGTACTGAGCATAATACACAATAGATAGCTTTTCAACCTTCATAATCTCCCTCTCTCCCAGCTCTAGCAGTACCACATTTCTGTTATTGCCATGATTGTGTCAATGAGTACTTAATGTTTAGCTCCCACTTATAAGTAAGAACATGTGGTATTTGGTTTTCTGATCCTGCATTAATTCACTTAGGATCATGGCCTCTAGCAATATCCATGTTGCTGTAAAGGACATGATTTTGTTCATTTTATGGCTGTATAGTACTCCATGCCTAATACGTACCACATTTTCTTTATCCATGCATTGTTGGACACATAGATTGATTGATTCCATTTCTGTGCTATTGGGGACAGTGCTATGATGCACATGTAAGTGCCTCTTGTCTTTTTGGCAGAATTATGTTTTCTTTTGGATATATACCCAGTAATGGGATTGCTGGGTCAAATGGTAGTTCTAAGTTCTTTGAGAAGTCTCCAAACTGCTTTTCACAGTGGCCAAAATAATTTGCATTCCCCTCAACAGTGTATCAGTATTCCCTTTTCTTCATAGCCTCACCAGCATCTGTTGTTTTTTGACTTTTTAGTAATAGCCATTCTAAGTGGTGTGAGATGGTATCTCATTGTGGTTTTGATTTGCATTGCTCTGATGATTAGTGATATGGAGCATTTTTTCATGTTTATGGAGCACTTGTATGTCTTTAAGAAGTGTCTATTCATGTCTTTTGCTCATTTTTCCATGAGGTTATTTTTTGCTTGTTCAATTATTTAAGTTCCATATAGATTCTGGATATTAAACATTTGTTGCATGCAAAGTTTGTGAATATTGTCTCCTGTTCAGTAGGTTGTTTACTCTGTTGATAGTTTTACTGTCCAGAAGTTCTTTTAATTAGGTCCCACTTGTCAATTTTTGTTTTTGTTGCAGTTGCTTTTGAAGACTCAGTCATGAATTCTTTCCCCAGGCCAATGTCCAGAATGGTGTTTCCTAGATTTTCTACTAGGATTCATATGGTTTGAGGTCTTACATTTAAATCTTTAATCCATTTTAATTTTTTACGGTAAAAAGTAGGGATCCAGTTTCATTCCTCTCCTTATGGCTAGCTCTCTACATTCCTCTGCATATGGCTAGCTAGCAACGTTTACAGATTAGGGAGTCCATTCTCCACTGCTTATTTTTGCTGACTTTGTCAAAGGTTAGATGACTGCAGGTGTTTGGCTTTATTTCTGGGTTCTCTGTTCTGTTCCATTGATCTATGTGTCTGTTTCTGTACCATTACCATGCCATTTTGGTAACAGTAGCCTTATAGTATTGTTCGAAGTCAAGTAATCTTATGTCTTTGTTCTTTTTGCTTAGGATTGCTTTGGCTTTCTTGGCTCTTTTTTGGTTCCCAATGAATTTTAGAATAGTTTTTTCTAGTTTTGTGAAAAATGACATTGGTTAATAGGAATAGCATTGACTCCATAGATTGCTTTAGGCGGTATGGCCATTTTAATGATATTGTTTCTTCCAGTCCATGAGCATGTATGGTTTGTCCATTTGTTTGTGTCATCGATGATTTCTTTTAGCAATGTTTTGTAGTTCTCCTTGTAGAGATCTTTCATCAGCTTGGTTAGATGTATTCCTAAGTTGTGAGTATGTGTGTGTCTATTGTAAATAGGAATACATTCTTGCATTCTTGATTTGCCTCTCCTTTTGAATGTTATTGTTATATAGAAGTGGTACTAGTTTTTGTACAATGATTTTGTATCCTGAAACTTTACTGAAGTCATTTGTCAGTTCTAGGAGCCTTTTGTCAGAATCTTTAGGGTTTTCTAGGTATAGAATCATCTGCCAGAGAGATAGTTTGACTTATTTTCCTGTTTGATGCCTTTTACTTCTTTCTCTTGCTCGATTTCTCTGGCCAGTACTTCCAGTACTATTAGGTTGGTGCAAAAGTAATTGCAGTTTTTGCCATTAAATACTTTTCACCACAATTACTTTTGCGCCAACCTAATATGTTGAATAGGAGTGGTGAGAGTGGACATCTTTGTCTTGTTCCAGTTCTCAAGGGGAATGCTTCCAGTTTTTGCCCAATTTAGTATGATGTTAGCTGTGAGTTTGTCACAGATGGCTATTATTTTGAGATACGTTCCTTCAATGCCTAGCTGGTTGAAGGTTTTTATCACTAAGGGATGTTGGATTCTATCAAAAGATTTTTCCACATTTATTCAGATAATCATATGGTTTTTGTTTTCAGTTTGGTTTATGTGGTGAATTGCATGTATTGATTGCATATGTTGAATCAATCTTGCATCCCAGGAATGAAGCCAACTTGATTGTGTGAATTAACTATTTTATGTGCTGCTTATTTGATATACTAGTACTTTGTTGAGGATATTTGCATCTGTGTTTATCGGAGATACTGGCCTGTTGCTTTCTTTTTTCATTGTGTCTTTGCCAGGTTTTGGTATCAGAACCTAAATGGCTACCTAAATGCCCAGTATCACTGGCTTCATAGAATGAGTCAGGAAAGAGCTGCCTCATCCTCTTTTGGGTGGGATAGTTTCATTAGAATTGGTAACAGTTCTTCTTTTTATGTCTGATAGAATTCAGCTGTGAATTCATCTGGTCCAGGGCTTTTGTTGTTGCTGTTGTTGGTAGGGTTTTTTTTTTTCCCCCATTACTGATTCAATTTGGGAACTCAATATTGGTCTGTTCAGGATTTCCATTATTTCTCAACTCAGTCTTAGAAGATTATGTGTTTCCAGGAATTTCTCCATTTCTTCCAGATTTTTTAGTTTATATATATAGAATTGTTCATAATAATCTCTGAGGATCTTTTGTATTGGTAGAATTGGTTGCAATGTCACCTTTGTCATTGTTGATTATGCTTATTGAGATCTTTTTTCTGTGACTCTAGATAGTTGTCTATCAATCATTTTATTATTTCAAAAAAGTAACTTTTGGTTTTGTGGATTCTTTGTGTAGATTTTTGGGTCTTAAATTTGTTTAGTTCTGCTCTGATTTTAGTTATTTATTTACTTTTGCTAGCTTTGGGATTTGTTTTTTCTTTTCTTTTCTCTAGACGTGATGTTAGGTATTCATTCAAGATCTTTCTCACTTTTTGAGGTAGGCATTTAGAGCTCTATAGCTTCCTCTTAACACTGCTTTTGCTGTATTCCAGAGATTTTGGTATGTTTGCCTGATTTCATTTCTAAGATTTGTTTCTATTTATACCTTAATGTTGTCGTTTACCCAAAAGTCATTCATGTGAAAATTTTTTCTTTTCCATTTAATTGTGTGGTTTTGGGAGATCTTCCTGGTATTGATTTATATTTTTATTCCCTGTGGTCAAAAAGTACCATTGGTGTTGTTTCCGTTTTTTAAAAATGTGTTGATGGCTGGGCACAGTGGCTCACGCCTGTAATCCCAGCACTTTGGTAGACCAAGGCAGGTGAATAACAAGGTCAGGAGTTTGAGACCAGTCTGACCAACATGGTGAAATCCCGTCTCTACTAAAAATACAAAAATTAGCCAGGCATGGTGGCATGCATCTGTAATCCCAGCTACTCAGGAGGTTGAGGCAGGAGAATCATTTGAACCTGGGAGGCAAAGGTTGCAGTGAGCCGAGATCGCGCCACTGCACTCCAGCCTGGGCAACAACAGGGTGAGACTTTGTCTCAAAAAAAAAAAAAAAAAATCTGTGTTGTTACTTGCTTCATGGCTGAGCATGTGGCTGATCCTGAATTAT